TACAATTCTCGAGCTGGTGGTAGAGGACGTGGCAGATTTAGGGTTCAGTGCCAACTTTGTGGAAAGATTGGATACCTCGTTGATCGATGTTGGCATAGATATGATCAAGACTTCTCGTGTGTTACTTCTGCTAATCGAGGGCAATATCAGTCCAAATACAAGACTACCTCTTCTCCTGGTAATTTTACAGTCTCATCCACTAATGATGGTTGTGAGTGTTGTGTTAAGTGAAGAACCAGGTCAGCTGTGGGTGATCAACCACAAGCCCCTGCAACTATTATGCAATCTGAGCGTTGGGTGGTTAATACAGGAGCTACACACCATGTTACAGCAGTTGCTAATAAGGTGTTGAATTCTTCTGAGTATCGTGGTCCATTTAAGCCTCTTGATGTTGCTTTGGTTGGAAATGCTCATATGAATGCTTCTTCACGTGTGCTTTTACTGAATGATTTGTTGCATGTGCCACAAATAACCAAGAGTTTGCTTTCGGTTTCTAAGCTTGCTAGGGATAATGATGTTTTCATTGAGTTTCATGCCAATCGATGTTGTGTTCGGGATAAGGCTACTGGAAGGTTGCTGCTTCAAGGTGAAGAAAGTGATGGTTTATATTCCTTTGCTATGAATAGAAACTCTTTAGAAGTTCATGTTGCACAAGCCAATGCAAGCTTAGTATCAACTTCATTAGATGAACTATGGCACTGGCGTCTTGGTTACCCAGCTGCTGAGACTCTAACAAAATTAGCTAGTGAACTAGGAATTAAAGGTCATTCCAATGTAAATAAAGAGTGTATTGCATGTCATTTGGGCAAAAGCCATAAATTGCCCTTTAATGAATCAAATACAATGGTAGCTTCTTCATTTGAACTTGTATACTCAGATTTATGGGAACACCACATGTATCTTCAAATGGATTTCATTTTTACATTTCTTTTGTGGATTCATTTACTCGTCATACTTGGATCTATCTTTTGAAACACGAGGATGAGGCGTTCTTAGCGTTTCAACTATTTCAGAAACTTGTAGCTAATCAATTTGGGAGTACTATCAAAGTATTACAAAAGAATGAGGTGGTGAATTTCACAGCATTTCACCATTGTTGGCTCGAGATGGGATTGTGCACAAACTAACATGTCCTCATACCTCTGAAAAGAATGGTGTGGTAGAGAGAAAGCACTGTCATATTGTTGAACTTGCACTAGTTCTGTTAGCTCAGGTATCTTTACCAATCAAGTATTGGTCATATGTAGTTATCTCTGCAGTGTATATAATCAACCGTCTGCCTACTAAAGTTCTACAAGAAATGTCACCATTTGGAAAACTATTTGGAAAAAAACATGAATATTCTACGATGAAGGATTTTGGTTGCCAATGATTTCCTCACTTAAGAGTGTTCCAAAAGCATAAGTTGTCTTTTAGATCTCAAGTTTGTACTTATCTTGGAGTTAGTCCTCAGCACAAAGGGTTTCAATGTTTGACACCTGATGGATGAGTATATGTTTCTCGACATGTTGTGTTTAATGAATCTGTTTTTTTCCATTTGCAGGGAAAGAAACCTATAACTCGTTGAGTTCTACAGCCAACACCAGTTCGAATTCTGAGTCACTTCGAGTTGTTACAGATGTCAGACTCTTGTTTTTAGTCTCCACATAACTTACCTAATACAACTACTGTGTATGAGGTGGTTGATGACGTCGTAATTCCTAATGTCGTTGAGGTGGTCAATGATGGTTCTCAACATATTTCTGATGTTATTATACATCACACCTCTAATGCTACTATTTCAGAAGAGGTTGTACCTAGTGAAACTGTTGATACAGGTGCAGAAACTAGTAGTGTGCCTGATGATGTTGATAGTATACGAATAATATTCCTGCTACTTCTAAGCCTGATGTTAGTATTCCTCAAACTCGTGTTCATCATATGATGACACACAGTCGATGTGAGATTTTCAAGCCTAAGGTGTTTTCAAGTGTTTTGGATGATGATGTTACTACTACAATAGATGTTGCTCTTCAGTCCTCTCACTGGTCTGCAGCAGTTCATGATGAGTATAATGCCTTAATAAATAATGGAACATAGACACTGGTTATAATCCTTGAAGATAGAATGGTTGTTGGTTGTAAATGGATCTTTCGGGTTAAGCATAACCCTGATGGATCAGTAAGTAGGTATAAAGCCCGCTTGGTTGCCAAGGCTTTTCTCAAATTCCAGGCTATGATTTCAAGGATACTTTCAATCCCGTGGTACTATTTTCAACATTTAATACAATGCTAGCTATAGCAGTTTCTAATGGATGGGAGATTCGACATGTTGATATCAATAATGCTTTCCTCAATGGAGATTTAAGTGAGGATGTATACATGCAACAACCTCCTGGGTTTGAGCAAACTGATGAACTTGGCCAACCTCTTGTGTGTAAGCTTCAAAAAGCTCTTTATGGTCTTCGACATACACCTCGCAATTGGCATGTTAAACTTAAGGATAATCTGTTGCAAATGGGATTTGTAGTGTCTCGAGCAGATTATTCTTTATTTATTAAGCGTGTTGATGATGGCTATATCTATGTCCTTGTGTATGTAGATGATATTCATTACATGATAATCTTCTACCGCTATATAGGAGATTGTTTCAATGTTACATGATCGTTTTACACTAAAGGATCTCGGGGAGTTAAGCTTCTTCTTAGGGATTGAGGTCAAACATGTTAATAAATCGATTGTGTTGAGTCAAAGACAATATATCCTGAAAATCTTAGAGAAGATTGGAATGTCAAATGTAGCAAGTTGTGCCACGCCAATGGTAGTATCTCCAAAACTCTCACATGAAGAAGTTGAACTCGTTCTGAATGCCAGTGAATACAGAAGTATCGTTGGTTCTCTTTTGTATGTTTTCCATACACGACCTGGCATTTCATTTAGTGTGGGATAAATTGCTCAACACATGCATGTACCACGAGAAGCTCATTTTGTTGCAGTAAAAAGAATAATGCGTTACCTATCATCCACTTTTAACTTTGGACTTCTGTTTTCACTTGCTGCAAGTGGATTGAACATTGTTACCTTTGGTAATACAGATTGGGATGCTAGCATTGATGACAGACGTTCTATCACTGGATACGAGGTATTCCTTGGAAAATGTATTGTTACTTGGTGATAAAAAAACAACGAACAGTCTCTCGATCCACAATGGAGGTCGAATACAAGAGTGTAGCATATACATCTGCTGATATTACATGGGTTCAAGCACTTTTTTCTGACCTTGGCATTCAGCAGGTTCGTGAGCCAGTTGTTTGGTGTGACAACACTAGTGTTGTGGCCATGAGCGCGAATCCAATCTACCATCCTCATTCTAAGCATGTTGACCTCGATGTCCATTTTGTGCGTTAGAAAGTTGCAACTGGTCAACTATGCGTCAGTTACGTTCCATCTATGCATCAAATAGCTGATGGATTCACTAAGCCATTGGCCAGAACTGCATTTGAGGAGTTTTAATCTAAAATATGTGTTCATCAAGTCTAATTCAGAAGACGAGAAGAAGTAGGGAGAATATTAGCAGTATGAGCAATGCAAGTCATGCTACGCTGGATGTGCCATGCTGGCAATAACTGTTAAGAGATAGTTAGAAGTTTGTTAAACTGTTAGGGTTGGTTACTTTGTTAGAGTTGTTGAGAAGCTGCTTGTATTGTGTATAAAACTAACTCATGCATTGTAATCAAAAACACGATATTCCAGTGATCATTTCTGCATTCTTGCCCTCTTTTTAATACAGGTTTGGTTAATTTTAATGTAGATGGGGCTCCAGGCTTCGGTTCGGCGGGGTGCTCAGAATTGATTCGGGTGAAATCAGGATGTTGTTTTCAGGTCCAGTTGAGAGTCTTGGTTCAGAGTGGGCCGAATTAATAGCCATCAAAACTGTGTTGTTAGTTTTCGTAGAAGCGGGTTGGATCGATAAGTCATTTATAGTGGTGGAATCGAATTGTCAAGTTGTGTTGAATTGGATTGCCTGTCCACTTATGCAGTCGTGGAAATGGTGGAATATTTTCGATGAGGTGGATAGTTTGTCTAGAACGATTTTTCATATCCAATTTTCTTATATTCCGAGAGCTCAAAATGGCATGGCGGATTTCTTGGCGAAAGAAGGTATGTCGAGGGTTGAATTATTCAAAGCATGGCGGTGAGGGGTTTCTTTTCGAGTTTGTTTTGTTATAATTCTGATTTTGGGTAGCTGTTGGTTGTATTTGTTTCGGGATGGTTGAGTTTTTCTGCATTGTAATTAGTCGTTGTATTCGGTTTGGTTCTGTTTTGTTTCGTTCTTTTGTCTCTTCCGAGTTGTTGAGTACTTTTTTCTTCCAATTAGTTATAGGGAGGTTTTTAACAAGACACAACTTCGATTTTTTTAATAAGAATGAATTGCTGTGCGTGCAAAAATTTTTTTTAAAACCAGTTAGATACTTATTTGCATGATTAAATCAGTAGACACGGGTGAGAAATTAAATTAGACGGCCATCCAAAGCATCAAAGTGTGATGCAACTTTCTCATCATTATATTGATAATTTATTTAGGATGCCTGAATTGACTGATTCTCATTAATTTATAAATTTTCGAACTTTTTGACGCACATGCTAGAAGAAAACTGTGTCTTCAAGATTAATAATAATAATAACACATTTGAAAAAGTATGTTTAACGATAACTAGATTCGGGGAGATCGCTGCCATGATTCTTGGTCAAAAACATCAAGCATAAAATTTTACCAGAAAAATCCAATCATCATTAAGCTGATAAAATCTTTTTTTCCAAATTATATTGAAAATGAAATCTAAAACATAAAATTAATGATTTTTTTCGTGTACCAAATATAATCATATTTAATATTAAATTCATATTTGAAAACATATACTAATAAACTTTAGTGGGTTGGGTTTGGGGCATAGTACGAAAGCGCAAGGTCCGGCAGCCCAAATTTAAGTTTTTATTTTTTAATTTCAAACGTAGTAGTCATCCAGTATTTTCCCGCCGAAACCAACCAGAAAACGGTGGCAAAAGAGGCAAAGCAGAAACGCTTGAAACCGCCGCTACAAGCGCCACTCAAGCGGCAGTCACCATACCTAAATACCAAAGCAACATTTTTCATTCTTTCTTCTTCTCAGAGAACAGAAGCCGATGGTAATTTCATTTTCTGTCAGCGCTTTCCCATCTCCACTTTTGTCGCTCGGTCTTCACACTGTCTGACCAATTGTTTGTGAAAATGTCTGAAAGAATTTAGGGTCTTAGGGTTTGTGGTATTTATATTTTATTATTTAATTGTTACAATATAGAAATAAAATAACCTAAACCTATTGGTTAGCTTGAAATAACATTTCTTTTAAAAAAATGCTATGAACCCTTTTTTTCTTACAGGAAGTTAATCAACAGGCCAGATGTAGAGAGTTGGCTATGTCGTCCTCATTTTACAGCGCAGTTTACTCTGAGGTTATTTAAACATTTTTTTAATTTATTCTTATGTCAAAAGCATTTTATGGTTTTGGTTTGATTTGTCGTGTTATTTTATTTTTACAGATAGAAGAGGTTGGATGGGAGCATTTGGTGAGGGTGGGAGGAGATCTAAATTTCCTTATTTTTCGTGTTTTGTAAGTTCCCTTTTGGTTGCATTGGCAATTCATCTAATATCAGTTTCCTAAAGGAACGGAACACCTTTTGGCATTTCTGAACATAGTTACCAGAAATCATATCTCCCTAGCGTTTTTCAATTTGGTACAAGTCCCAAATTCAGGAAGACTAGCGATTCAATTCAGTAGAACTAGCAATCTTATTAATATATTTTATTATAATATTATTGAGTAAAACAAACCATTACTAAACATTAGAATTTATTTATTTAGAATTATATGTATATGTAAGAATATATATAGGGATAAGTTCCAAAACATGTTTTATACTCTTGTATTTCACTCATCCTATATTAACTGGACAACCCTACTATCAAATTATGTTCCATAGAAGTAGCAAATTGCATTCCGATTTTCGTTCCCCGAACTAGACAATTTGCAATTCTAGCTTAACATAGTTTCTGGATATGATCTGTGTCATCATATCTGGAACAAATCTTGTCAAACACGAGATGGATTAATTACTAGCATTGACGTTAAAGTGGTTTTATAAGGTTTAAGTGGGTAGTTTAACAAAAAAGTGGTCCGTTCATTTCACTTTTGCTGAATCTGAAATCAGATGATTACTGAGTGATTAAGCATAGATTTTTTTAGGCAAGTCCTACTGCAACTACCAGGGTCAGTCTTATAAATAATGTTATCCTTTGGTTTTTCCAAAGAATCAGTGAAATATATATATTTTCTTTGGATGGAAATGATGATCCAGTATTATGTAGCATACCTGCGATGTCCAGTTCTTTCTTAAAAATTGATAAAAAAAATTCATATTGGTGTTAGAAAATCCTCATTGCACATTTCTGTTTATATCAATTATTTATTCCTTGTTGCTTATCAAAATATCCTTCTTGTGCATTTCGGTGCTAGAGATACAAAGGGAAGAGTGCATGTTCTGGAAATTGAATTGGATAAAGCTTATCCTAAAGTTCCTCCAATGGTTTCAGCGGTTTGTCTCTTGTCCTTTTGGTCTAATTCTTCCAATGGAAGCTTAGATGTCTTTTAAACTTCTTTTCTGTACTCAGGATGTTCCCTATATCTTCAATTTAGAATGGACAATGAACTCAAGACTGAAAAACTTGGTACAACAGTTTGAGGAGGTATAATGTTCAACATTTTTTAACCTAATATAGTTCTTTTTTCCTTCAAATTATGTTTTGGTGTCATGGCATTTTACTATTGTTAGAACTTAGGAGTTCTCCTTCCTATCCAGCATCTGGAGAAGCTTCAAGGATTTTGGTATACTTTGGACGAGATTGACAGATCTCTTCAGATTGTTGATTCAAAGCAGGCATCTCGTGCGATTGTGAGTCGCCAAATTCAATTAGGTGAGTAATTAATTCATTCCATCTTATGCATGTTTGTTCTTGCCCCCCTCTGTTGTACTGAACACAGGGTTCAACTATTTGCTACTCAGGAAACGATTGCTTCATGATATTGTCTATCAGTATCAATGATCCTAGATCATTACCAGAGTAAGAATTCATATAAAATTTTATTGAAAGCTTCTATCATTCTTTTAGAATGAATAATGAATATTTAGGTCTTTGTAGGTGTCGTTTTATGGGTTCAGGTATTGTTGTGAACTCCTTGAGAAAGACATGGAAAAGAAATGTTGATAAATGGTATGCCCTTGAGTCTCGGATTTTAAATTTTGCACTAGTGAAGTGAGTGTGTGGGTGGAGAAAAATAAATTAAAGAGTTGTGTTAATTCCTTCTCTAGAGACAGAGTATGGCTCGATTAGAATCTTGAAGTCTTCTATCTACTTTAATAGTAATGAAGCTTACAACATCATGTTGTGTAAGGGATAGGTTTCATTCGAATGTGGGGACTTTTATTATTGTGTTTCATTTATATATTTATTATATTTATATAGTCTGATTAATTGTGTAGGGTGAGGGACAATGCCTTCTTAGAAAATCTTGAGTGTCTTCTGAACACCCAATTGCCAAGGCTCGCTGATGAAGAGAAGAATAATCATCTAGATGAATGTGGAATCTGTTATGCTCAGTATCTCCCCATAGGTAATGCTTTGCATGCTTTAGATGTCTTTTAACAATTGTTTGCAGACTTAACTCTCAAATGTCATGAAGGTGATGAGCATACATCCAATAGTGGCATTGCAACTGATTACATTTGTGAGAATAACAGTTGCAGTAAGGCTTTCCACAGCATGTGCCTAGTGGACTGGATGCGTTCAATCACAACTACAAGGCAGTATGTGGAACTCTAGCACTTGTATATCTTAATCTAGTTCATGTAGGAACATAATTTTATTTCCCATTAACCATGTGTTATCAGTTGAAATGTAATTACTGCTGTAGTTTCTGGTTCTGCCATTGGGCTACCTGTCTGCCCAAATGATTCAAACCTGCAAACAAGTAGGGTAACTTGATTCGCGTTTATGTCCTTATTAGTCTAGTACACCTAGTGCAGTTGCATAGAGGTAGGATCAACCATTAATGGCCTCACATTCTTCAGTTTCAACTAGGTACGGGAACACAACTTCTGAAGTCTGATCAAAAGGGACCTATCAAAGGGGCAATCTAGATTGCATGTAATTTGAATGTCTTCTAAGATTTAGATGCAGCATTTACCAAGCTAAAGGAATAAATACATTATCCAAAACGTTGTCCAATAATTGTCAGAGCTGTTTTCATCCATGGTTTGCTAAGTTGATGATTCAGGATACCAGTCTTTCCATGCATGGTAAACCGATTTGGCTTTGATTGTGCATACTCCCGTTCTAATTAACTGATTATCTATTAAGCCGAGCATATATGCTATTATATGTTTTCCCCCTTCCTAACACTCCAATGAGTTTCCCAAGAAACAGTCCAAATCTATCTTCACATTTTGATGTGTAGATTATTTGCAAACAGTATGAAAAAGATATTTGCATGAACCAATCTTCAATGTCCTTGAAGGGCTAAACTAGCACTAGGGATCCTTTTCATCTTATATCATACAATGCTTACCATGTGCTTCTCTTTCTTTTTTTCCTTTGGCAACTTGGTTTATGGTTGTGAGTGCTCGTGTTGCAGGTCATTCAATGTTTTGTTCGGAAATTGTCCTTACTGCTCAGAGCCAAATGCAGTGAAAATCAACTCTACAAAGAATTAGAGATCTTACAAGTCTTAATCTATTATCCCGAGCTGATTCATCCTGTCCCAGAGAAACTTTCATGAGTAAAAGAGGCGGGCCTATTTCCTAGAGGCCAAAGCAGCAAAACATCTGAGGTCTCAGTATAAATTCCGAACATTGAAGCTTCTCTTGTCAATTCAGCTATTGAAAATCAATTCCATTTTGCAGAAATAAGACGAATTAAAAATGAGAGTAACTCATTATATAATGTAGGTTTGTGCCCACTTGTAGTCTGCTATTACTTGTGACCAACAACAATGATATGTGGCTTTCCCTTCATTTATGTTGTCTTGATTTATCTCAGGCTCCTATTTACTTGTACCAACAACAATGACGGGTTTTAACCTAAAATGTTATATTGTCCAACCTAAAAGGTTATATAATTTGTAATAATTTCAATTACAATCGAAAATGTTATATTGTGGTAGATTTTAACCTAAAATGTTACTTGTTTATTCTAAAAAGTTACATATATAATAATAATCTCAGTTACAACCGAAAATGTTTTGACGGTAACTTGTTAGGTTGTAATTGGAATAATTATGTAATTTACATGATTTGATATGAAGAATGTAATATTTTCGGTTTTAATCTAAAATATTACTTAACCTAAAATGTTACCTAGTCCAATCTAAAAGCTTATGCTCTTGATAAGTTTTCCGGTTACAACCAATTTATGTCATTTCTTAGCCTTTTATTAACAGGTTGTATTTTAGACTCATGCATATTTCCTATAATGTAGATTCTTTGTTCCTGTACATTTCATTATTGCTATTACATGGGTGTTTTAGCTGGAACTCAAACGTTTCACACATTTTTCCAGGCATATAGATTGCATGGTCGAGCACTCGGTTCAAACTTGGATACCCACAGCCAAATGTGCAAATTACTAAGTAATACACTTGAAATTCTTTAATGGGAATCTATTTTCCATCTCTGGACTTGTTTTTTCGATTTTTTAAGGCATTCTAAATGTGAATGGAGTTATAGAAGATACTGCTGCGTCAGAGGATGGCCCCTTGTCTCTCTAGCTTTAATGGTTTGTTCGTTAGAGGATTTATGTCTGTTGGGGCCATAGTAAATACACCTCACGTACCAAACATGGTCGGCTCCGGTAAGCTGGTCACTTCCTTGCTGTGTTCAATGGCCAAAAGGGAGGGTATCTAAATTTTATTTTCCCCTCTTCTTTACCAGCTATAAAGCATTAAATTAACTAATCAAAAGATTATGCCAATAACACTAGAATTCCCCCCCACTCCCCTTCTTGACCCTGAGTCATTAATGCAAAACTTTATTCTTGTCAGCATCATCATCTTTTTCCCCTATGATATAATAGAATCCATAATCTCCATTATAAAATAAATGATCGTTAATCTGAAATTTTACCTTTCGAAATGATTTTATTGACTAAATCGAAATTAAAATAATTGTTACTGAAAAATTAAATTTTGATAATTTTTATCGTTCACTTATGGTTCAGCTCAAGAATAGCTAATGATGGTTGGTGAATTGAAGAAGATGATGGAGAGAGTATGAGACAGTATTAAAGTGTATTAGAGAGTTTCTTTCTCCAACCTTGCATAGTGATTTACATACAAATTTTCATTGCTAGTCAAACCTAAGATGATGATGACTAATTTATATGTTGGCAAGATTAATAGATCTGATTATCATATAATATGTTCTGTTAATATATTACATAAGTCTACTAATGATCACATCAAGAAATTATAAATTGATGTAGGATATGAAATTCCGAAAACTTCTAATAACTTTGAAAACTTAAAAGATTCTATAGACTAAGAAATAAAAAAGGAAGTGTAACTTACAAAAATATAAAGGTAAATAAAATTATATTTTGTTGACATCATAACTTATATAGTTCAGGTCTTATATCCCATTCATTCTCTTTTTTTTTTTTTTAAAAAAAGTAATAATACAAAACTGTGTTGTATTTGGCCAGCTATTTCGAAGTACGAAATCTCCCTCTTTGAAGGGAATAAAAGGCCAAAACCTGGACCTCACAAAGAAACGAAGTTCCTTCCAAAGGACAAATATGGATGAGAAATGGAGGGACCATCGTCCTGATTTGATTCATGCGTGGGACGACCAATGTGAATCAAATTCTGGCCAACATTCAATTTCAAAACAATAATACCAAAGATGGGACCATTCATAGATCGATCAATCGGAACCAAATATTTCGAACACTCCCACTGAATTTCTGGCAATAGTTTTGTCTTTGGGGCTGAAAACTGAGATTTGGATGCTATAATAATGAAAAAAAAAGTATTGTAAATAATTATACATTTGACTAGTGCTTTTTATTGGGAACAAAATAGTATGCACCAAATACAGACAGGTACAAAATAGGAACTGACTGACACAAATGATATGCATGCTCCTCTTATGGCACTATTACGGTACAAAGGGAGGGGCATATACGTCAAGTAGGGTAAAAACAAATATTGTGGAGTGTTGAGTTGGATACTAGTATTTCATATGCCGGCCATGCACTCTGGTGGGGTAACCGGGTAGCGGGACTTGTCGGTGCAGTAATCGTAGATGACATGGTTCATACGGACCCACCTGTATCTCCTAGCCTCCATGGCATTGAGAGCTTGATAAGCAGTGCCCTCCCACCAGTTCCCAGCGTTGGCGGCACAGTTTGCTGGCCCTGGAATCGGACATCCTTCAATGTCAAAGTCCTTGTAGTAAGCCAAGAATGGAGCTTTGCTCCAATCTATTTTCTCTAGGCCTCCCCTTGTCGCCCAATCATCGGCTTCCCACAGCGTTGAATACACCCCCATTGCCTGCATTTTTGGGTACGGGATATTCCTTGCTTCATTGTTCTTGTAAACTCTGATCGGCACTTCATCTACATAAAACCTGTAAAACCACAAACCCGAATTTCGATTTAACACCGTTAATGCTTACAATTCTACAGTGTCTTGTTAAAACTTACACAATATGATGATGGTTCCACATGATTGTGTAAGTATGGAAATCTGCAGACGGATCGAACCAAAGGTTAACCCTTTGTTCCCTGTCACCTTTTCCATGAGCATAGATGTTGGTTTGGACAGTATAAGGCTGCCCGGTTCGGTTTCCTAAGAACTCAAAATCTAACTCATCTCTTACGGTGTCTGTATCAGAATTCATCTGCAATCCAGATTATAATGAAAACCAATCCTTTTTCAGTGTTTCAAAATGTAATCAAAGATCATATCGATAGCTTTACATACATAAAAGGCGGTGACCGTGCCGGCAGAGTCGCCGGGGATGAGCTTGATCTTCATACTGACACGTCCAAATAGATACTTGTTTTTGGAAGCAAATCCACAGCCTAAAAGAAGAACGAATAACAACAGACGATTAAGAGTAACATAACATATGGTTTAAATTTATAGCAAATTTGTACTTAATAGTAGTTTAACCTGAATTTTGGTCTAGAACAAGTTGGATGGCCCTGCCCCCATCGAGTTGCCTGATGTGATTCGGACCAAGTGACTTTAAAATCTTGAAGGAAAGTCGCTGGTCGCCCCGAGACGGAGATCGAAATGGAAAGAAAACAAGAGAGAATTAGAACAAAAGTATTGCTTAAAGACACGATTGACACCATGTTTAAGGGCAGATAAAATAGAAATTTATGGAGTTTGATATGGAGATGAAATTGAAGTGTACGTATATAAATAGGCGGGAGAGATTAGAGAGGTTGATGTAGACGGCTGCATTGAAATGAAAAGAGGCGTCATCAGCTTAGCTTTCGATCCAGCTAATGGCAAGCCGTCTTTAGGGCCTACACCTTGTTCTTATCTCTGCCTTTTGGAACCTAATCTTTTTCATCATCTTCTAACCTAATGCTTCCACTCCTTTTCATCTTTCTCTTCCTTTTTTTGTTTTTTTATTCCCAAACCCCAAATTAACATTTCTTTCTTTTGGAAACTGCAACAGAAGTGATTGATCAGATTAATGGTTGGACATTTCAATATGGAAATTGATTTGGTGTGTGTATATCAAATGTAGAAAAGGACGGGAAGCCATATATCAATGAGGAGTGCCTAAAAATATTGGTCAACTGGGGTTTGGACTTAAATTCCAATGCCAATCACCCTTCTCTTCTCTGTGGACAGCTTTGAGATTGCGATTGATATTGAACGGCCAGTTTGGCCGGTTCCGCCGAGTCCATGCCCCCACCGCCAAGTTTTTCGCCTCTCATCTTACCGTCCAGGTACGGGCTGCACTTATTTTCCTGTTAAAGGCTACCTCTTTACAAAATATATATATATATATATATATATATATATATTATACTATAGGACTATTATAAAATAATAAATATTTTTATTAATTGTTGACAATGCACACATACTACACCAACTCATATTCTTTAGAAAAATATAAACTTACTTTTATCACTAAAATCATTTAATGGATTAAAAAAATCTAAATCATAAAAGGAAACTTGTTTATATAATAAAATCTTGACCTAGATGCCATGAATTAATCGAACTTAATTTAATTCATGAAATTATAAAAAAAATTAAAATTTAAATAAAATCATATTTATATTGATTTAGTCGTCAACTAAATTAGAAGCTATAGGTATGTTATATTGTATTTTCAATAAAAAAAATTATTTAAGTTTTAAAGACTATATTATTAAAATAGATAACCATAGATCATTAGACATAAACATTACAAAAGATATGAAAAAAAATAATCATCAATTGAATTTTGTGTTACGAATTTTTCTTGGGGTTGTGAAAAGAAGCTAACAACTAGGTAGTACTTAAACTACTCTTGGCCTGCCATTTCCTTATTCACTCTATCGAGAGCTACTCCTGGAGGTTCGATGAAGTGTAGATAACCAGAATGGACTACCCATGCATATTTGGCCATAATATCAGCTACCTGATTTACTTCTCTTGGAATGTAGTTCAATGATACGTCCCACTCTTTGGCCAAGAATGAGTCTCTGTGTTGCAGTATGGTGAAGCATCGTTCTTCATTTGGGCTTTCTCTTAGCAACTCCACTGCCTTGGAGTTGTCTGCTTCCAGTATCACCTTCTCGTAACCTTCATTCCAGGCTGAACGAAGTCCTTCGAGTATGCCCCATAGTTCGGCTTCCAACGTAGAACATAGTCCAATTCTCTTAGTGTAACCCCGTAGTTCGGCTTCGA